TTTCCTGAAATTCCTCCAAGTAGAACAGTTTTAAGTAATTGTATATAAAAAGTAAAATAGCATATGGTATACGTTGTGGGGAATGGAAAAAGGATAGGGATGTTACAATCTTTTGGAGTGTTTTTCAATAAACTTTCTTTCATTTAGTTGCTACCAGCGAAACAAAGTAAGTTATGTCTATACATTCTACACCTCTGAGGTGTTTATATGCCTCATAATACTGACTTCTCTCCTGAAACAATTTATCTGGACTAAACTGAGAGTAAAGTACTCTCCTCTCCACGTTTACCCTGTGTCATGCACAGGGTACAATGCTGAAGTGTTTTGTAGATGACTTGTATGAAGTAGAAAGAGAAATGCTTCCCAAAGTAAAAAAATAGGAGGAGGGTGGGGAACCTCAGTAAGACATAAATGAACCAGATTACACAATGCTGATTTTATATTAGGATTATTCCAGTCAATGCTTTAAAAGCATATGTTAAGTGTTCTATTATGTGACAAAACTGAAATGTTTTGTTTAGTCTACCTTAATTCTTTTTTACTAAAACTAAAAAAGTATATTATTTACATATCTCAAATATTTTAGTTTCTATCAAACATAGCATCACAGTTAACATGAATTTCAAATCGTATCTGCTGCAAACTGCAAAGGTGGGCAGAACACTAACAGAATACTCACCTTTAAGAAAATCGTTAAATTAACGTTAAATAACTGTAAAATATTTACTAAAGAATTGTTAGCACACATCAAACATATTGCCAGTTGGGCCAAAATCTCAAAGTGTTATCTTGAAATGTCCACTCACAGCAGACACTGTTCCTGAACAGAAGCAAGAGACTAGAAAGAACTAAAAACATGGTCAAGTTAGAACATAACTGCCTTAATGAGGCAGTTCCCTTATATCTGGGAACCATCAGACACATAATTTGTCTTTAAGGATCTACTTCACAAGATCATTTTACTGGAAAGGAAAAAATGCTGCCAGCGTTCTACCTATAGTAGCTTAGTTGCAGTATTATTTCCCATCCACCCTTAAAGGGCTTGAAAAAGAGAAAGGAGATTAAGGGAAGTAAGTCTAGAGGTAGGAATGTTGTCATTCTCTTCCACTATCTAAAACTCCACCTCCCTTTATCTTTAGAAGATCTTTCTCATCATTCACATCCAATTCATCATGAAAAAAACACAGACATTGAGTGGAAAAGGGAAGAACAGATTTGTAACTTCTATCTGTTAAGTTTCAGCAACCACTGTATTTTAGCCATTTTAGCCGTTAAGTCACTCAATTAAGGAAAGGTAATTAAAAAGAAAATAGCGTGTAAAATCAAACTAGTTAAGTGGAGGAGGTTTTTCTTCAGCTCTAAAATGAGCTCCCAAATCTAGATCAACTCTATTGATAATAAAGAAAGGAGAGTTTACAGACAGCTTGTACCAAATTGCTTCTGGAGGTAATCCTCGCCTTTGGGTGCACTGTAGTCACAAACTTCTGCATCTCTCTATGATGAAGTCACAAAACCTTTAAAACCTTTCAGGATTCCACTCTTCTATGAAAGGCTGCAATGAAAAGTGTTAATTCTCCTTGAAAATTCAGGCTAAGTACACCACAGTCGATGTCTAAGTGAGAGCACTATAAGCTAGTGTGGAGCATTTCTTTGATTTTGCAGCTGAAGGTATGTGCTCTCTATCTGGGGTGGACAGACAAAAAACCAAACAAACAAAAACAAAACCAAAAAAAACAAAACCACACACACAAAAAACAAACAAAAACCCAACAACAAACAAACAAACAAAAACACGCACAAAAAACCAAAAACAAACAAACAAAAAAAAACAAAAACAAAAACCAGTTGGTTAACAGATAACAATGAAATTAACCCATTCATCTTCCACCAGCTGAATTTACATTAATCATGCACATGATGGAAACATGGAAGCTATAGCAGTCCATAGCAGTCATGACCATAAAATAGGAAGTCCAACTAAACCAAGAAGCTAAGAAATTTTCTGGTTTTGTCTGGGCACAGTTATAATCTGTTTTCTGAATTTCTGATAGATTACTTGATTGTACCAGAGTGCTTGGAGACAGATAAGGAGAGACATCCCAACATACCAGCACACACAAGCTTCACTATACTTAAAAGTCCTGCAGTGTCATAATTTTTTTTCACTAGGTTCCCAATTCAGCCACTATGCTTCAGAAAAGAGGCTCAGCATATAATTTTCTTTAATTCAAAGCACAGAAGAAAAATAAACATATTTTCAAGAGATATAAATCCTAAACAGTTATACAAACAACAAAAACCTTTTATTAATTTAGCCTTGCAACATTAACTTTTTCCTCTTAGATCTTTTGTGCCATTTATTATTTGCAGCTTTCACTTATTACCACGACATAATCAGCACTTCAAAGATAGGAAAGGCTCTAGTTTTCTGTGAAATGTTTAGCATATTCAACAATCAGAACATAAATTCTGCTTTCTCTGTTTCTGCTCAGTAGTCTGATAATGGAGTTACTTAGCAACAGATGAAGCAAGTGAACTGTGCTGCCTGATTCACGCACATTTTACTGCAAAGTAACATTCACAAAGGCATTATTTAGCTGCTGGTTGCCTTTGCGTGGTTGAAGCGAAAAAACCCATTAGTGTGAGACGAGTCTACATGAAAACTCAACTATCATGTACTATCTGTAATGCACTACACATCTTGAAATTAACAGAAATTGCCTGTAAGAGTCACATTTTGAGCACCTCTGAAAAAGGAATAAACAAGAAAATACAAAACACAGACTCTATTTGCAGTATTCACATGGAAGCTACAGCAGTTGCTTACAAAGCTGGGGAAGGAGTATTCTTTCCGCAGCATACTGACAATCTGAGAATTTCAAAAACACAAAACAAGCCCTCGCAAGTCAAGAACACTCTTCTTGCCACACAATATTTTGATTTCATAGAATGAATACCTACTTATTTTGAAAACACACACACATACACTTATTTCCCCAAACCACCTTCACCAAAAGAGTAGGAATATTAAAGGTTTTTTTTAAAAAGACAGTCTTACAGACAAAAGTAACCCACAGAATTGGACAAATCATTTGCCAACCACTACTCCCTCTTAAGATAACTCCGTGGCATTAAACAGTTACTACTGTTTTTCATTTATTTTGGAATGTGAAAACTTTTCTTTTACCAACTGCATGAGAACTTGTGCAATTTCTTTTTGTTCATTGTACAAAATTACATTTTCAACTAGATTTGAAAGTCTCTTGCCCCTGGCAAGGGGAAAGCACAGCAGTTTCTGAAGCTTTGTCATATAGTGGCATTGTTCAAGTGTTATTTTATTCTAAAGATTCAACACTCTGGAGTTGATAACAGCTTTACAACTTATTTCATGTTGTGCTGGTTTAAAGGTAAACCGGTAGGGGAAATGAACCCAACTCAAAAGAGATTATAAGTCAGAATAACAATTTAATAAAAATAATACAATAAATACAATTATACAGACAAACAATTGGTTTTAGCCCACAAAAACCCAGATGTATAACCCAGCACCGTGGGGCATTAACAGAGTGGTGTTTGTTGGCTCCCGTGCTGAGACCCACGTTGTTCCCTGAGTCCAAAGTAAAAGGAGAGTAAAAAAAAAAAACCTGTTGGTGCGAGTGGTGGTCGCAGTCCAGTCGAGGTTCTGGTCCTCCTCTGGAACCCACGAGTGGTACCAGAAGTCCCAAGACCCCAAGATTATATACCCTCAGGTTCAGACAGGAATGCCCAGTACCTCCCTCAGGGTAGGGAGTTCTATAATGGGTGATTGTGAGTCGTGGGTGTGAGGACAGGAGCATCCTCCTATCTCAGAGGCCTCTTAACACCCAGCTTATAGCCTGAGGGGTCAGGTGTGCTCTGGGCAGCTACTGCAAATGGTCTATTGCTAACAGTTTCTGGGCAATGACATGGAGGCTGTAGAATACACAGTTTGGGTTACACCCACACAGTGATGAACTGGTCCCAGCTGTTCTACCTAGGACATATGTTTAGATATAGAGATTTATGGAGCTGAAGTGGGACTTTACAAAGCTAACCACTGAGATCTCAGTTTGGTCATTATCTCCTATTTTTTCGACTTTCCACAATTCTGACCAAAACCAATAGTTATCTGCCTTTTTTTTTTTAAATATAAACCATTCTCAAATCAACTATCTTAAGCATTAGTATATCTTTTATCTATTTGAAGTCAAGTATCAAATAATTCTTGAATATAACGTACATTGTTTTCTTACAATCACAATTTGTTTGTTCCAGTTGAACAATTTTTAAACAAAAGGTTATAACCATAACATTAGCTGATAGTTAAAAATTCAACTGCAAGCTTGCCTACTTACTTGCAAGAAAAAATTTTAAAGAATAAAACCCAAAAACCATAAAGTTCTGCTTTATGTTCTACTTTATGTTCTACTACACCATTTAGTAGCTACTGGCTTTCTACATTGGAAACCATCATTTCAGAAGCTCTTATAACTAGGACACAAAATCGTTTTATTACTTCTCAACTTCCTTTTACTAGCACAGGCACACTGCTCTACTTTATCTTGATGAGAAAGTGGCATATTTCAAGACAATATTATCAGAGCATATTACTTGTAATCAAGAACCCAATCTCCAAATATCTTGTAATTTAGATAAGTTTGCATTTTTTACTGTACTCATAGAAACAAAAGAAACATTCCACACGAACTAAGCATTTTCCTACAGAAATCAGGCATCTCCCAAACAATTACTCCTGGAATGTTATGTTGAAAACTAAAAGTTAATATGTTTAGCTTAACTTGTACTTTGGGTCACCTTCCAAGCCATCTCTGCAGAATCGCAATTTTCACAGCTAGAGAACGTTTTTAAGCAATTCACTGGCAAAAAGCAGCTATTCAGAAGAACATTTTAAACAGATAAAAAGAGAAAGCTTTTGACAATGAAAATACCTTGGGAAGTAAAAAATCATGATATGTACTTACTAATTTGTTTTCTTGCATATATATTCTTTGCAACTTCAGACAGCCTTTAGCTATAATGATCATTCCTTCATCTGAGATCTTGTAACATTGCCCAAAATGTATGTCTTTCAATTCTCTGCACTTTGAACCCAGCTGCAATTAATGAAATCAAAGGAAAAAGAAACAACAACAGGATTTGACTGAAGAGTCAGGAGTTAAGATTCCTCCTCTTTCTTCACCCCCATTAAAAATAATCTTTCTTTACAGAGTTCTTAACTACTACATGCAAACAAGAAAGATTTTAATTACATACATGACAAAATGAAGCTGCTAAATACAGTCAATAAAACCGAGCTAAGAACAGCACATAAGAACTAGGGGTTTTATAGGGTATATATGTAAGTAGCTAACAATGCCTTTATGCTCAACCATTAACAGCATATTTGATTTACCCTAACTACTTCACAGCTTAAGCTAAATGCTCTTTTAACACTCAGAGAGTTGATGAAACTTTCCTGCATGCCTAACAAAGAAAGATGTGACACCTTCAGCATTCATGATACAAAAAGGAGTTACTTAAATGCAGGTTCAGAACAGCAACCAAGCTCAGGAAAATTCAGTCAGACAGAAGTGAAGTATAGGATGCCAAACTACAGATTTAGCAATAAAGGGGATCATTTAATCCCTAGGTATTAAAAAGAAAAAAAAAAAATGAACAGCATTTACTGGACCGAACTCACCATAAAACAATTTTTAAAACAGAAGCTTTTTTCTGATTTTAATTAAATCTTAAGAGGAGTACGGAGTACATTCTTCCAGGTCCCTTTTTGCACTTGGTAAGAAGTTGAAATATACTAAGTTTACACAGGAAATTTGTGGAATAGATGGTTACCTGCTTCAGGCCTTCATCGGTGAGTCTGTCTTGATTGCCCACATGCACTTTCTGAAGAAGAGGACACTGAGAGGCAACTGCAATAATAGAGGTGTCAGAAAGCTGTTTACACCTGTAGGCAGTATACCTTAGGAGCCCAGGACATTTAATTGCTAATATGCATACTCCTGTATCAGATACATTGCGACAATCAGAGATATTGATTTCAGTAATATTCTGACTTCTTGATGCTATTTTTTCCAACAGTTCATCAGTGACCTGCAAAGAAAAAAAAAAAATACTCAAAAATAACTTTTTCCATTAAAATCTTTAAATTTCACTAGCACAAAAATGACTATTTGAAAGATGCATTTCCATGAGCTATTGGGAGAATGTAACTACATACCTTTACAAATACCACCTATGTGAATATTTTACTGTAATTGATTTGTTTGGGGGGGTGGGGTTTTAATGCTTTTGATGGAACATGGACAATCGGGAGAAAGCCAATTCTGACAAAGACTATTTAGATTGTGGCTAGATGCTTTCATGATAAAGCTGACAGAGCAACAGAAGCAATATCTAGACAAACAGAATAAATTTGGGCAGCTCCAGGAATTTGTGTTGCCACAAAAAGAACCACAAACAGCTGCCCAACTTGCCAGAAGATCTCAAGTTCAGACGGAGTTCCACAGTTAGGAGGGCAACCTGGACCTACTTCCCTTTTCAGTAATTGCAAAGAGGCTATGTGTGACGTCCTGGTATTAGAAATATAAATTACTTGCTGGTAGAACTGCCTTATTAAGGTTTAGGGCTTGATGAGTTTCAGTGATCTCAGCTCCTGGGGGAGGTAAACAAAGCTTGGGGAGATGATGTACTACTCGCAGTAGACACAGAGAATGCAGAATGTACAGACCACAAGTACATTTGGCAGAACTCCCAAGATAAGCAAGAAACTAACAAAGCCAACTCAGCTGAAATCAGCTCCAACTGCGTAAAAGACAATTCTGGCAGGGGGAGATGGCAACCACCACAGATCACTGATACAAGAAACCCACCAGCCCAAAAAGTGGAAGACTGAGCATGTGGATTAATTAGCATAAGAAGAAGTGACTCATTTAACCAGCAGAAGGTAGATTACTAATGAATAAGAGAACCATGTAACTTGTAACCAGTGAGCATTACTGCCTTTGTTTACTAAAATGTATAAATAATGAAAAGTTTTGATGGTTCTAGTGCTGGCTTTGTGGATTTACCATGCAGCCCCCCCCCCGTGCAGAACTGTAAACAAATCAAGTATCTCAACTCTGTGTGGGGATCAGCCTCTTGTACCCCAGGTGAAAGAACTTGTTTTGGGACAACAGTTTTGGTGACTCAGATGGGACTCGAACCCACAATGCCCCTATGACTGGCTAGAAACATTTGCTAGTGATAGCAGACCAGCTATCGGGCTGGGCAGATATCGTTAGCCCTAATTCTGTTTGTTACTTGTAATAATGTTGTGTGGAAGGGCAGTGGTTAAATACCTTGAAACTTTTCTTTACCCTTGTAGTATGTTAGTGGGTATGCTCGATTAAAACACAGGGAGGACTGTTGAAGAATACATTTAGTACAGGTAGCTCTGTGTGCAGCTGCAGTGGAACTACAGCCCGAGGCAAGAGGTCATGAACTGGTGCTGACCCTTTGCATAACAAAGGGCACAGGGACCTGTGCACAGCCAGGTGAGGGACACTCAGGGACACAGCAGGAGCCGAGGACTCAGCAAGAAGACCCCACACTTGCCCCCATACAGACTGTGAGGGTTTAAACACCCAGGGGTACCTTTGTTCAAGGTCCCTCCTCAGAAGCACCAGCTCGAGCTGTTATTCTGCTGTTGCATTATGATGAAATTACTTTAAGGATCCAGAGGTCTGAGACTCTGATAGGGGAAACCTGGGGTTGAGTCCATAAGGAAACTTGGTCTGACTATGTGAGTGTGGGGGGTCTGGGGAGTCAAGTGGAGCCTCCATCGGCTCCCTGGAGCCACCAGGGCTAAGGGGCTTCAATCTCAGTTTAGGTGGTAGGAATGTAACTTCCAGAATGGCTCCTGAATGGTTGGACAGGGAAGTTTCCTTAACACCTTGGTAGAAAAATGATTCTGTCGACCTCATACCTGCACACATTGTAGTCAGCTAACAAGACAATAATCTTAAAAGAAGACAATTCTACAAAGCTCGTAAGCAACATGAGATATCCTTAAGGTCAAGCTTGTAAGTTAGAGTAAACACACAAAAACTAAGCAGGTAAGACATAATACATAGAACTCCCTCACTTTAAAAGTTTAGTTTCAAAAAACCTGACATGATGAAATTATTTCTAACATAACAATTTAGAACTACTTATTCACCACCTGGCACAGATGAGATTTAGCTTTAACCCTAAAGAGAGCAAGAGAGCAACACGAATCTCTCTTGGTTTTGTCCGATACAGTTAAGGAACAGTCTTCACTGCATTCAATCTGTTTTCCATTTGTAGCAAGTCTAAGCTTTTTTCTTGCTATTTCATCAGGGAGCTGTTTGCTAGACAACGGCTGAGTTGCTTTTTCCTGGGGTATAGTTAATGTTCTTCACAGTGGCTAGCGCGGGGCTGTGTTTTGGATTTGAGCTGGTTTGTTACTGCTGAGCAGGGCTTACACAGAGCCAAGGCCTTTTCTGAATTCCATACTGCCACACTGGTGAGGAGGCTGGGGGAGCACGGGAGGCTGGGAGGGGATACAGCTAGGAAAAGTGACCCTAACTGACCAAAGCAACATTCCAGAACATATGGTATAATGCTCAGTATATAAAGTGGGAGGAAGAAGGAGGAAGGGGGCCACGTTTGGAGTGATGGCACTTGGCTTCCCAAGTCACCATCACACGTGATAGAGCCCTACTCTCCTGGAGATGGCTGAACACCCGCCAGCCCATGGGAAGCAGTGAATTAATTCCTTGGTTTGCTTTGCTTGTGTGTGTGGCTTTTACGTTCCCTATTAAACTGTCTTTATCTCAACCCATGACTTCTCGAGCTTTTACCCTTTCGATTGTCTCCCCAGTCCTGCTGCTGTGGAAGTGAGGGAGGCGCTGCTGGCTGTGGTTAAACCACCACAGTGACAAATTTAAAAAAAAAAAAATCTAAGTAAAAACCACAAACAAACAATGCCTGATCAAAGACACACACACAAAACCCCCCACAACAAAACAAAAAAAAAACAAAACAGCCCAAATCACGAAACTCTCCCCACACTTCTCCAAGAAGAACATTTGTGCTTAATATGGGTTTCAGAACTCCATAAAAACCTGGCAATTTGTTAGAACAATGCCACAACTGATAAACTCTAGTGAAATCCTTTACTGGAGATACCTAATAGACAAAACCATTAAAAATCTTTGTAGCAAAATAAGGCTACAGCTCAAGACACTGAAGAAAACATTTTTTTGACACACAACACCTACAGAGCTAAAAGACAGGCTCATGGTGTGAGGGTGCTTTGGAGTCCCTTGAGGAAAGAAAATAAAAATCAGACAATCTGCTACATAACTTTTCTATAGTGGTTCAGAAACATGTTAACTAGTAATTCTAGAAGCAAGAGAATTTGCATTCTCTCTTATGAATTGGTGACCTGAAAATAATACTCCGTATGTATTCTATATTCCAACACAGATGAGTTCATATTGTTCCTTCTTCAAATGGGACCCTCGAATTCCCATGAATTTTCATGAAACTCTAAAGGAAGTGTTTATAAACCCCTGCAAGTAACTAATTAACAAGAAACTTCAAGAGCGTGATGCAGACCTGAGACAGGTAACCCACAACCCATTTCAAACAGCACTTGTCCTTACACCATTTAACAACAGATCTCAGTCAAAATACACTGCATTTAAATAAGCTAATGTAAGGGTCCGGACACTTTCAGCCTAGAGTAAAAAAATCCTTGAAAGCACAGATATCACCATTTTTTGTGTTTCTTTTGTTTGCCCTCAGTCCAAAGTACAAGTCCTGAGTCATCAAAACACTTTTTCTGCAATGATATTTTCATACCTGCTGACGACTACTGAGATCCAGTTGCTTCCAAAACTGAAAATCTAAACAGAGGTCACGCCAATATTTACAGACTAATGACACCGAAAGGCAACGCTCATTCAGAGATAAGTTGGAAAATATCTGTAAAGAAAGAAAAAAAATATTTGTCAGATGTAACCATATTTTGAAGACAGAAATATTTTATTACTAATTCATCTTGTAAAAGACAGGAAAACATTAACATGCGTTGTAACACACAGATCTAGAACTTGCCCCCAACTTGATTAGTCAGGGACAATAACAAAAAAACCTACATCCCCGAAGAACAAACAATACTAATAAGACACCTCAGCACAACCAAAAACAGAATGTATCCTACTTAAGCTCTCATTTCTTAGACTAAGTTTCAAATATGCTTCTGAGATGGCATACCTAAAGAATTACAAATACAAGTATTAGCTCAATGTTATTTTGCAAGCCATTTAAAAGGTGTTTTCATTCCCATTCTGAAATGGATGGAAAACCGTTCCTTTTATTTTTTTAACTGAATAGAAGAGTCAGAAAGGTATTAAAACACCAGTCTTGTGGGAAGGGGGTATGGGATGGTAGCACAGATTAGCAGAGCAAATCAGTGCCATACAAGGGAACTTAAGCACACAACTAGCATTTTATACCCCAAGGTTTTGAGCACTATAGCTGCCTGCAAAAGTCACAGTTTATTCTTTTTTATGGTAGGCTCATAAATTGCTGTAACATTTATTACATTCAGCCCTTCCACAGAAGAACTGTTGGTTATTAATAAATATAAAAAAAGGTCTGCCAAGAGTTTCATACGAAGGTACCATGTTACCACAAATGACCTTATATCTACATGTCATCCTATAATGAGAAAGGGCAATAATGGCATTAAGATACACAGCACAGACCGCAAAACGTGAAAAAGTCCTCCCACTCTTCTGACGAGGACATCGAATACTAAATAGAAGCACTACTGCCCATCTCAGGCAATTTTCTCAAGAAAATCTGAAAGTACTAGAGAGAGTCCACAGGAAAGCACTGAAGTCTAGAAAACATTGAAAGAAACTACTAGCACTTGGGAGTTTAGCCAAGGAAAAGGGATGGCAAAGGGGGTAAAAAAATAAAGAAAAGGGTAATGAAGCACTGAAATATAATACCTGGCAACTTACAAAACTTTCATCATTGAGTGGTCTTTGAAACAGACTAGATAACCAACTGTCAAGAATAACCACCATAAACCTAGAACAAGGGGTACAGTTATCTCAGCAGCTTTAAATATGCATATCCCTACAAGATCCCCTCATGAAAGAGAGTTGTAGTAAGAGGGGAAGGGGTCAAATTCATGACCTTCTGTAAATGCTTGCAAGATTTATCATTCCCATTTTCTTCTTCTAGCTATGAAAAACTCACAATCTCTTATGCAAGACTCCTCAGTGTTGAAGGATTGTGTGTGAATCCTGTTTTCTTGGGGGCCCTTGCTTGACCATCACCAGAGTCAATGGATGATTCTCCTGAGGCAATCAGTTGAACATGAGCAGATAGAAGGGCAAATCAACAATTGCCTGCTTCCTCTCTGCAGTTCTCTGTCTGTAATGGTGAATCCATGGACAGAACGAGGACACGGCTGTGATCAGTACCCAAAAAATACTGTCTCCCTCAGTCAAGGAGAAAGAAAGCACTAAATAGCAAGTGGTAATTTGGCATCTGACACTCCTGCTGTAAAAGTGTCATTCTAAATGTAAGAAAAGGTGACAGCATGACAATGCTCGGCAATTTTCAGGAAAAGCAGTAGGAAACTTGAATTCCTGCTATCAGCAGGGAACAGAAAACTGAATCTTCTACCAGTTACAAAAACCTTAGAAGAGAACAAGGCAACGTGATCTACATTACATTTAGACAGACATCTAACTGACTCAATACTAAGAAGGATATCAAGGTTGGCATCATAAAATTCTTTAACCAGCCTTTACTCCAGTAGGAAATAAATATGCTTATTTGGGGAAATACCACCTTTACATTGAGGAACAAAAGCTTGCAGATACAAAGAACACAGCAAACACAGAACAGGAAAGACTGTTGCTAATCCAGCTGCCGCTGTGAAAATGAAAGCCCATAAATAATTTTTGTATTTTATTTTGTTTGGTTTGGGTTTGCATAGCAAGGTTTTGGTAGTGGTGGGGCTACAGAGGCGGTTTCTGTGAGGAGCTGCAAGAAGCTTTCTCTTTGTCCAGAGCTAGTGCCAGGCAGCTCCAAGATGGATGCATCATTGGCCAAGGTTGAACCCACCAGTGACGGTGGCAGCACCTCCGGGATAATGTATTTAAGAAGGGGAAAAAAAGCCATCGGGCAGAAGCAAATCACAACCAGAGAAGAAAGGAGTGACAATCTGTGATGAGGAAGGAGCAGTAGAAACAATGTATGATGAACTGACCGTAATCTCTACTCTGGTCCCCCTGAACCCCTAAGGGAAGGAGGTAGAGAATTATGAAACGATTAGGCCCAGGAAGGAGGGAGGGGTGGGGGGAAGGTGTTAGTTTTACTTCTTTTTATCCTACTCTGATTCGATTAAAATAAAATCAATTGATTTCCCCCAAGTCAAGCCTGGTTTCCCCATTTCAGTAATAGGTGAGTGATCTCCCCCTGTCCTTATCTCAACTCATGATCCTTTAGCCATATTTTCTCTCACCAGTCCAGCTAAGGAGGGGAGCAACAGAGCTGCTTTGGTGGGCACCTGGTGTCCAAGCAGCATCAACCCACCACACTACCACCCCACTAAAAGCCCTCACAAATCACAGACCTACTGCTACTGCATTGCTATCATTGTTTCATGCAGTAGTAATGAAGAAACAAAAGAGAAACAAGTTTGACTCAGTATTTGACATAAACAGTACATCTGCATAGACAATATCCTGAAAGAAATGCCTGAAAGCATTTGTAGCCATGTTTTAGTCCATGCTGTATTGAATTCTAGCTGCAGAAACAATTAAGGAGTGTAGAGGTGCTGCAAGTTGACTTCTTAGAAAACAATCATCAGAACGAAGCCATGAGGAGGAAAAGCAATGACAAGTCATTTCAGAAGTTTCAGCACAAACAGGAGTAGCCACATAAGTTACACAAGCGATATGTGTTCAAAGACAAGGCCTTGTCTGCAGTAGCTGTAAAAGTTCCAGCTATAAAAGGATGCTGAATAATGCCAGGTAAAACATCAACTTCTCTTCAGAGTGTGCAATTGTTAAAAAAAGATGTATTGAACTACACTAAATGGAATTTTGCAGCAAAGACTATACATATTCCAAGTAGTGACACATCATCCTTACATTAAGGGATTAGCTTAGTTACTGGTACATAGTACCAGTACTTAGTTACTTAGTTACATAGTACACTAATGCATAAAACACTTCAACTCACCTTGATGACTTTCACCACCCTTTAATTCAATTTTATTCTCTAGATATATACTGATACTGTGGCAGCTAATTTGTCCTGACTTAAATTTTCTAATTCCCAAGGATGTAAAAATACAGCTGAAAGCTAAAACCGGTCTTACCCCCAAGCCTGTTCATCTAATTCCTGCTTATGACAGATAACTTTCTGAAGGCAATGGTTCTACTAGTTAGCATGTTTAGTTACTGAAAATTGTACTCAAACATGTACATTTTCATATCCACTGTTCCTTTTGTTCTCCCACAACTCTGTCTAATCCCCCTTCCAAGCACCAGAATATCCTTCAGCATTGTCAACAGGGAAAAAAAAGTTTAACAACACTTTCTAGAATCATTTCACACTTTCTTTTTTACCCTGTTGGCAAAAGGTAAGGGTAGAGGAAGCAGAGTTCTGCAAAAGATGCAAACTCTTGTTCCTTACTCACTCTCAGTTCACCCTCTTTTAGCTCAAATTCCTTAAAGATGTCAGTGCTTCCTGCTTCACCCTTTCATGTGATAGTTAAGATTAGTGGGTTTCTCTTCCCCTTCAATGGATGCAAGAGACTTTCTGGGACTTTCTGCTCCCCACTGATGGCCTTATCATACCTTCCAGACATAGTATGTTCTTAAACATAAAGCTCTTGCTTTGAAATAAGATTTCACACAGACTCATTGAAGACCATTAATGCCTTCCTTGCCTCATTCTCTAATAGCAAGACCAGTTGCTCTCCAGGTATCCAGTCTGCTGAGCTGGAAGACAGGAAGCAGAATGAACCCCCCCCACAATCCAAGGGGGATTGTGCTACACCACTTAGACACACACAAGCCTAAGGGGTCAAATGGGATCTGGGCCCTGATGGAGCCAGTGGAAGTGCTTACCAAGCCACTTTCAATTACTTATGAGCAGTCTTGGCTAACCAGGGAGGTTCCAACTGACTGGATGTTGGCAAATGTGACGCATGTACAGGATGCATGTGGCACGTACAGGACAATCAGGGGATCAGGCCCAGCCAGCACAGGTTTGTGAAATGCCTGTCTTGCTTGACCAATCTGATCTCCACCTATGTCAATGTGATCCGGTTGTTGGATGAGTGAAAGGCTGTGGATGTTATCTACCTGGAATTCAATAAAGCCTTTGACAACATTTCCCATAGCATTCTCCTGGAGAAACTGGCAGTTCATGGCTTGGACAGGTGCACTGTTTGCTGGGTAAAAAACTGTCCGGACATCCAGGCCCAGGGACTGGTGCTGAATGGAGTTACATCCAGCTGGCCACCAGAAACAGTGTGGCAACAGGACCAGGGCAGTGATCACCTCCTGTGCTGGGCACTGGTGAGGCCACAACTTGAATCCTGTGTCCAGTTCTCCATTCCTCACTACAAAGACATTGAGGTGCTGGAGTGAGTCCAGACAAGGGCAACAGAGATAGTGAAGGGTCTGGAGCTCAAGTCCTATCAGCAGTGGCTAAGGGAGCTGGGGTTGTTCAGCCTGGAGAAAAGGGGGCTCAGGAGTGACCTTATCGCTCTCTACAACTACCTGAAAGGAGGTTGTAGCCAGGTAGAGGTTGGTCTCTTCTCCCAGGCAACAAGGAAGGACAAAAGGAAACAGCCTCAAGTTGAGGTAGAGGAGGTATAGTTTAGACACTAGAAAAATTTCTTCACTGGAAGGGTTGCCAAGCACTCGAACAGGTTGCCCAGGGAAGTGGTGAAGTCATCATCCCTGAAGGTATTTAAAATGCACGTAGAAGTGGTACTTAGGGATATGGATAAGTGGTGGAGCTGGCAGTAACGGGCTAATGGTTGGATTCTATGACATTAGAGGCCTTTTCCAATCTAAATGATTCTATATCGAAAAGAAAATCCAACAATGCAACACTCAGGACAGCAAAAGCCAACTAACAGCTAGAGTTAGTTTTCAGTCAAATTACAAATCACATGCTGAACTCTGAATTGATACAATCATACAAATCCCTTACATGAGAAAAGCCATGTAAACAAGTTGTTTAACCTTTCAACAACAAAATGCAACTAATTTCACAGAATTCCACCTGAGTCAATCCACCATTCTAAATCAGGTGATGGTTCCATTGATTTTAATGCAGTTAAAAACTAAGTCCTTGCATGGCACAACTTAGACCATCAAAGAAGAGTGCCTGATCAAGTTCCCAAGTTCTGGGGTTTTTCTGAACTTCCTAGAATAATTTTTTTGTGACACAATGGATGGGAAAGGAAGAAAGAAGATGCTGATTAATATTACTGAAGAGTCCAACCAGAAAAACTAGAAATAAAACTTATTCTGTGTAATTGTCTTCCTTACCCCCGAGTCCCTACACAATGAGCTTCAGACATTAGACCCTTAAGACATCCACACTCCTTCTACATGAAATGTATGCTAGATATATCAAGCTGTATATTCAAAAAAAGACTACTTTGAACTTTTGCTAAATGTTAGCATTTCAGCAGGAAGAGAGAAGAAAAAAAAAACCCTCACAAACTAACAAAAAAAAACCCCAACCAAAAAAGCTCCACAAAGCATCCTATAAATATATATTTTTTTT